TCATGTACTTTTTCTACTCACTATTACTTACACTGCCACTAATTTCTCGCTTTCACTTCACTGACACTGAGGCACAAATTTTGTAGGCGAGGGCTCCAGCTTGTCGTGTGGTGTTGCTGCAGGTCATTTCTGTTGTTAGATAGCTTCGTATGGCGGGGATTTGAGGGGGGCGCCTCTGCGGATTCTGTCTCGCGCTATCTGTTTGTATTCAGGGGGGGCAGGTGTAAATTGCCGGTGTACGTATTGTAACGAATATTGCATTACCTGCCGGATTCACTTACGCGTGGATTGCGCGATCTGCCGGCGCCCCTTCCCTTTCCCCCCACTGGACGGTTCCGGTCTATTAGCGAGACGCGGGGAAACGCGGAGAAAATGCCGGGTGTATCGAGACCAGCGACGTCCAGGTATAAATGCGCCGCTGCCGGCGGCCGCGAGTCAGTCGGTAGCGGTCAGTCAGTAAGAAGTTAATAAGTGTAAGTTAGTGTGTCAGAGTAATTCAATGTATGTAATCAGTGAAGAAGCAGTCAGTCCGTCGGTGTGTCCGAAGTGGAAGCTGAGCTGTGAAGGGTGCATCGCAGTAAACAGCAGTGCAGTGGACCCTGGTTTGCGCAGTATAGTGTGGTGTGCGCAGGGAAGTGTGGTGTGCGCAGGGAAGTGTGGTGTATGCAGTGGACCGTGGACAGTGCATCGGACTGGATGACCATATAGAAGAAGAGAACTGTGTAAATAAATAATCAAGAGAACAGAGTCGTGTGTAAAGAATAAAAATTAAGTGCAGAACACAAGGTCTGTGTAAAATATACCTGTATATGTAGATCAAGTAGTTTTTAGTGTCAGTAGATTTTAGTGTATTATTGTTAAGAAGAAACGTTTTTGTTTAAATATTACGAGTGTGAGTTTTAATTCACCAAAGAGAAACGTTACAGTATAGTAAGCACGCCGCACTGCCATCAATGGCCTCTGTGATTATTATTTCTCTTAAAGCTTGCGGCCATCTGCACTTTCCTTTAGTGCAGCGTCAATACCCGCACACCATTGTCCTAGTGTCCTTACCACAAGTGGGATCACTTCGGCGCTGTGGTAATCGCTGTGGTAATGAGGTGGGCCTGGGTTGCTTCGTGTTTTTGACTTTTATTCTAACATGCTAAGTGTGCCCTGTCGTGCGTCAACCACCACCAAGACCACCACGAGTGCCATTCTGCCCCGCGCGAGTACGAGATCAGCGCGATTGCTGCCCGCCACTGCCCGATACTCCCGGACCATTGGCCACCCCTCTGCAATGACTGCTTCTTTGAAAATGGCTCTGATGTTGTTGTCTCGGGCTTAGTGGTGACAGGTAGCGGCACTCCGTGGTAACGTGACAAATGTTCTCGGATGTTGTTTTCCCGTTGCGCCACGTACATTTCATTCTACAACGTTTGGTCACGTTCCGTGGGAAGCAGTTTAGAGCTGGGAAGGAGTTGATCCTGGCCGGAAACAGGAACTTGTAGGTGGGGATTTTCATGTTCCGGCCAAACTGCAGAAAGTGCGTAGTTACCTTCAACTCCTTGAGAGCGCTTGCATATATGCCCTGGGCCGTGACGTGGGCGCCTCACCAGCGATGACCGGTCCAAGCACCCAGTGTCACTCCATTCCCCTCCTCCGCGTTGCCACTTCCTCGACTGCGTCTTGTAGCGCTGCTTCAATTGCAAGTCAATATTTTGAACGCCGAATCGACTGCCCAGAAATATGCCATCGCGCTCAAGCATTGAATTCCAATTGCTCCATCCTCCCCGTTGCTGCTTTCACAGCGTCTCAGAGCGCGCCATGGGGCACTGAGTCAAAGGAGTTTTTCAGGTCGAGAAGTGCTATAGCACGATCGCGCTTGCCCGCCTTCGCCCGATGTATCCGACGCTGCAGCGCGTAATTATGCTCCAGTAGCTCACAGAACGGTCGGACTCCTTTCTGCGCAGAGGAGAGCACCTCATTCCGCTCCAGCCAGGCGCCGAGTCGTCTCACCCAGAGCACGATGTAAATCTTGTATATTGTGGGCGCAAGGGTGATTGGCCGCCAGTTAGCTAAGGCCTGCATACTTCTTTTAATATGAGGATTGTGCGTAAGCGGCGACACGCATCAGGGATTTTGCCTGTCCATTTTATCAGATTAAATATTGCAGTTAGGATTTTTGCTACCAAATCCACTTGCAGGTGATCCAATCCTCTCCGAGCGCAGTGTTTTCCGTCTTAGAAGCTCTTAGAATGACTTTAGTCTTAGAAGCATTTCCTTTTTGGAAAAGTTGCTGCAGTCGGCAGGCACCCTCCCAGTGACTTCCCCATAAGTTTCGGTCACAGTTTGTCTGCGTCGTTCATGTCTTTGAAGTACTTTTCGATATCAGCAATGGGTAGCATCCATTACTCTATCACTCCCAGCAATCCACCGCATCGCCTTACGCCTTTGGACTGCATAACCTTTTCTAATTCTGCGCTAGTCGGCGACCGGTGGGTGGCGGTTTCTTGCCGTAGCTGCCTTCGGAGCTTCGCCCGAGGGTGTTTTAATATTTGCGGTTTCCTGCAGGCCGGCTGTCAGGCAGTTATATAGATCTTCTAGTCTCTCTTCTGTTATGTAGAAGTCCTTTGAGTTGTTTGCGTCTGCGGTCTCCTCATAAGCGCTCCGTCCACTCATAGGTGCGCGTTGGCCTCTGGCCCTTTGGTCTTCTGAGCGGCCCTTCCGGCCTCGCTTCCTCCCCGTGGGGGAGGATGGTGGTCCTGTGTGGTGGAAGGCGCTGTGTGTGGCCGCGGGGGAGTTTGTTGTGCGAGTGTATTCAGGTCGTCTCCGGCTTCTGTTGCTGGGCCAGCAGGGGGGTCAGAGTGGACAGAAGAGGCTCGTTTGTCATGGTTTTTGTGTTGACCTCTCTCATGTCTCATCTTCTTTCTTTGTTATTCCGTCCAACTCACCTTGTTTCTAACCGTACCGGGGCATCCTTGCCTCTGTGGTGATTCGTTCCACTCATCTGCTGCTAAGTGGGGGCGGTGGCCTTTGAGCTCTTCTTTCCTCCTAGCTGCCCAGTTGCGTGCGCCCTTGTCTGTCATTATTACGTTGGGGGCTTGTTGAATAGTTTGTCCCGTATCCGCTTCACTTCTGGGGGAAATGCCGAGTTAAAAATGTTCTAGTGGCTTTACTCGTCGGTGGGCGTACGCCTGCTTCCGGTCGCCTTCCTCCTTGGAGTTTGGCTTTTGTGAGGTCGGGATGTAGGGTGTGACATTGTCCCTCTGCTGATGTACTGCCTTGAGTTGGATCCACATCTTGTTGCTGCTGTACATTCTCCTGTAGCCGCAGGTGCTCTCTTCATTGGCCTTCTGTGTCAGCCAGTGAAGGGGCTGTCGGTTCCTCTCTGGAGCCTCTTTGCTGCAGTCTCTTTTACGCTGTCCGAGGACAAAATTTAATGAAAACATTTTTGAGAAAATTTCGAATATATTCTTGAAGTGTCATGTAAAGTACCCTCAAAAATCAAAATATCTTTTTCAAACTCCCAAATCCTTCAGTTCATTTCGATCGATCGGGATATATCAATTTTGAAAACAATAGGTTGAACAGTTCAGGCACTAGCGTTGACCACACTCGGACTGACAGACCTTTTGCCTTCAATTTTTCGATATCAAGGACCCACAAAACATAGATTCTGGCTATAATAGATGTTAGAGGTAGTAATTTACTACCTATAGTAAAAGTTTCTATCCGTTAAAGACTTCTCTGCCAGTTGTAATCCAGGAAGCAATTTTCAGGCAAACAAGTTAATGCTCCTTAGAGGAGTGGATTTAGAAATTACGGTTTATGGATTAAGGCGGAGTGCTCACACTGGAGATTCGGTAATAAGTAATACTTCTTTTTCTGAGTTTAACAACACCTCTGCTGTAAGAGTTTGACCCATTTTATTAGTAGTATTCACAATCGTCGCTCGCAGGAGAGAACCAACTTGCTATGCTTGGCTAACATCCATGTAGGTTAATGTGTGTGTGTATTTGTATTGTGAACTTGTGGAGTGGTGGTAGGTGTTCTAGAAGTTGGAGGTGAGTTATTGTCTACACTAAAAGTGGGTTGTTGATTAAAAGAAAGGGCAATATGTATAGCTCTTTGCCAATTAAAGTTGTGTATAAGTGGCTGGTGGTTCTCACACGTAAAGGATGCAAATATTCTGTTCTTCGCAGACAGCTGGGGCAGAGCCGATGCGAACACTTGAAATCCACTGAACAGTCAGGTTTCGAAAACGAGTGCCGTTGTAATGAGGTTGCTCTTCAGAACCGCAAGGTAGCAGACTTGAAGATTGGACGCTGGCGATGCAACTTCAAGTTGAAACCGCTGTTAAGGGAGTGCGGGGAATTTTATGTGTTGAGTTAAGAGATCATCGTTGAAATTGAGGTCCATTATCAAGGGCTGTAGCTCGTAGTGAAAGAAAATGTAATACATTTTGAATATGGTCAATGCTAGTCTTTCGTTTCGAAAGGAGAAACGCTTCTCTTGTTTTATTGCCTAATTTACTGAGCACTAAAAACTATATAATCATCGCAGCTAATGGTACCTTAGTGGAAACAGCTAATATTGATAACCAGTGAGAGGTAACAGAATTACGCAAGTCTCTTAGAGAAGAGGTACTGCAATTCTTGAGAAGGGAAGGTGAAAATAGTTTGGAGATGTTTAGATAAACTTTTAGATTTGCCAACACGCCTCGAGCTTGAGAGATGTATTCTTCAGAAATACCGTAGAAATCTATTTCAGAAGCTCAGGTTTTCAATTAAAATTTTTCGGTTACCTGTTGTTTTGAGAAATGTATTTTTATTTTTCCATTCATATTACAAATTGTATTTTCAACATGATTTCTTAGTCAATTGTAATTACAAAAATTCTTAGCTTATTTGGTAAACTGGTAACAGAAAATGAGTAATATTTACAAAATCTCTTGCGAACTACAGTATAATTTGTGAATTTGATTTTCTTATTTTAAAAGTTCACTTTAATTTTTCCAGATTAGAACTTATTCATTTTACGATATGTGGAATGTTATTATTCTTTCTGTGGAAATCTTCTGTAATCACACCCTTGATACGATTGTCATTCAACATACTGCAATTTTTTGTACCACTTCCAATCATCCAACTTATTTATTCAATGAATTAACAAGAAAATTATTTGTGGTGCCTGGAATTCTCCGTAATTAATTCATCTTTAAGGTACAAATTGTTATTACTTAGAGTAATTTTATATTTTACTAATTTATTTATTATATGTATCTTGTTTCTTATTAAAATTAATACTGCTCTCGCTTCTACTGTGTTCATAGGTTTCAAGCCAACTATAACAGATGTTAAGAAAAAACCGAGAAGAATAGAATACATTTCATATCTGTGAAAAGAAATTATTCATTTCGTAACACATTAATTCAAAATTAGGGTTTTGTTTTACATACTCTGTAATGGATACATTTAATATAATTTTCCATAATTCACTTATTAAGACAGCTGAAGCATGTTATGGGATTATGTAGATTGTCATATTTTCATCTTTCGATTACTACATCGCTAATGAAGTCTCGTTAACCAAATATTCCCATTGCGAATACCAATGTCAGTTCATGCCCCTCAAGCGTGGGAGAGTTTTGTTCAACAACAAAAATCTTACCTAAGCTACTTGAAGTAGAAATCTATACGAGGATCTTTCTTTACAGCAAACATGTCAGTTACCCTCTGGGTGATGTTAGGATGGATGTTACTCAATGGTATGAATGCTTCCTATCATTTCTTCTTCTACGGACATGTCAAAGACACATATCTTCTTCCATAGAAATGCTTTTCAATGTTGAAAAGCAACGTTCAGATTGACATGTCAGAGGTAATGTGATGGCTATTTTCAAAGGTTTACGAAGAAAAAGGAGAATGAAGATTATTATCTTGAAGAAATTGATGAAACCTCTCGCACCGCCAATACTTCTGTACACTTCTCCTGAATAGATGACGTTCTGTATGTGGTACGTACCTGGGTGTGTTATGGCCCGCTTAAGGTTGGGGAACTTTTACCCTCAAAACAATTTCATTCAAAACAAAAAGTGCATTTGTACAATGAAATTTGTGCTCTGTGTTCTCTATATGAAAAATAATTCTTATTTTTTTATGTAGAATTTACTTTTACTAAAACAGCATTTTCCCCACCCACGGTTGGTTGTTTGGCCTTTGCGTAAGATCATTGGAGGATGACTGTACCATGAACTTTACCACAAGCCACAATAGTGACACTTTGCCCATGGACCCACTTATCTCCTTTTGTGACAAAGTCTTTAATAACCAAAGCTTTTATGTTATTTATGAAGGTATAATCTCCACACTTTTTCGCCAACATTAAAGATTTTTCAGGGCACTTAAACAAATTAATTTTATGTGAATTTGTTTTGAGTTTTGAAAATGGTCGTCTACAATAAATTTGTTTATTTTCTAGCTCGAATAGACATTAGTAATTGTGGTTTTGTTTGTGCAACTTCCGGGTTTCTTTTTAAAACTTCTTTCGACCACCACCTTCCAGCCTTATCTTGCACAAACGTTCATATAATTTTATTATATGAAACATATAATTTTCAAAACTGTACCTGTAAACATTACTCCGCAAAACTTTGGTTGTGATTGGATAACCAACCTCACTCATTATGAAACCCGAGGACATAAATCTTTTTCTTGTTATAAGTGAGATGATTGACCCAATTTGCATTTTGTCATGCAATTCTGGAAAAGATACCGGCGAAGAGTGCGCCTAGGTGCCGAAAATTTCTCTCTTGTTTGTCAAAGAGAAATCTTATGTTTACTTTTTGGATACCCTTGGATAATCTATTTTGGGTCTAGGAACCCCTCTTTTTAAACTGGCAGCCATCATATGAACTCGTTTGAAATTATTGAAGATCAGGACAGAACAAACCGTATTATTACATTCACTTTGACTTCTCATGGAAACTGTAGATGTTGTGATCCACTGGGAAATGCGCGAGCCACAACACCATACAGAAAACGTTTTTGTAAACAATGCATAATAATTAACTTCATTTCTATTTTATACTCAAAATAATTCCATTCCTAGATTTTATGTTACTGAAAATTATCAACAATCAAAATAATGAAATATGGGGAGTAGGTACCAAATTGATGCCACTTAGGGGAAGCAAAAACAGTACCGACGGTTCCGGTCCACCTTCCTCAGGCAAATAGCGGCTTCCAGTCTAAAACGTCACACAGTTAATGATTTTGCTAAGTGTGTCTCCATTGTGTTTTACTTGGTTATTGTGAAAATGAACTGAATCCTTAAAAATGTCTGTACATTGATGAGACCGAGCGTAACAATTTAGCATGTTATTATCCTTATTATGAGAAACTTCTCGATTGTGACATTTTTCGGATAGAGGGATAGAGGGGGTATAATTTACAAAATCGGTTACTAGAGTATTTGAAGTAATGGCAACCCCTGGAAAATCAAAGCCAAACTTGCTACGGCTTGGTGGCGAAATAATTCAGCACTAAGTTGACTGCTCTATGTATTCTGAACTTTTTCATTATAGCATTAATATTTGCTCTCAGACATCTTTGATAGTAATATTGTACCTCAGATTCGTGTTTACAATTGCCTCTAACATTTTGTAATGCATGACTGGTTAATTTCTTGACTTGGGAAGCACATTGATTTTTTTGCCTGTCGTGAAGAATAATATTTTCTTATAATTAACTTCATCTTATGAATTGTATCAGTGTAAATAGTAACCAACAAGACAAACTTGTTTAATGACTTAAAATATGTAAGTCAACCTTTCATTCGAAGAACTGCGGAAAGTTGGTGGAAATAGTATGTAAGAAAAATATAGTTACAGAGAGAATGATAAATTGGTTTCATCGAATGTTACCTTTCTTTACCGGACGTTTCTAGGAATAATAAAGGGGCATTAAATTGCCTTCGCTTTATTCGACATCGTGGAAATACTTGCTCCAGTGTACGCAGTATCCCTTTCAATTTACATGCATTTGGAACTTACTTGATAATACTGCGTTTGCAGTCACTATTTGTCTTATTAACTTTCTCGGGCGTTTATGGATCCTCTTGGGAAGGACTTGGACCTGCTTCACACGTTTTTTAGGTATTATCGAGAAAAGCACAAAGAGAAGTTATCGCATTTCATTGGATTTATTGCAACTAACATCTGTTTCGCGCCAACGGACTTCGGAATGTTGTCATCAGTACTCACTACGAAATTTTGCCTTCAAGTGTTTATTGTTAAAGAGAAGACGAAGGTAGGCCATCTATCAAGAAATGTTGCGCGGTTATTAACTACTTTTGGCCACCTCCTCCTTTCTCGCAGTCGGCTGAGACCTCGAACAAGGGAAAAAGTTAAATGACTTATTTCTCATAGACATGAAGCAAAATAGCCACCGCAAACAATATTCGATGATGTTTGTTACAAATGTACAATTAAAATATAGTGAAATGTGTTTTAAACAATAGCTGATACATGAGGCGTATCCAGAAAGTAAAATCTATAGGTCATCAACACAAACAAAATGTAATTTCATGGGAAAACTTAATTGTATGAGATTCAGTACATGTTGCATTCTTTTTTCACATAATCACAACCAGAAACGAGAGATTTTTTCTTACTGTTGGATCAACCCTTGAATCCCTGTATCCTAGGACACAGCCATCTGAGCAAGATATCGATTGTTTGACTTTCACCTGCAATTGTGCGTCACTGTGATGCGCGTAATGCTGACCGTGCATACATTTCTTGAAGTAAGAAGAGATGGAAATCGCTAGGGAACGAGATACATACTACAATAAGGATGGTGCACACCTCCTAGCGGTATTGCTGTAGACTCCAATGTGTTTACGACCTAGAGAAACTTACTCTCTGGATACGCCTTACAATGTTAAGTTGAAATTATATTTCCTCTTTTCTGTATACACACCTCTGTAACTAAATACCTTCAATCCGAACGTTGTCGCAACCAAGAGTGCAGTTACAGATATAGGTAGGTAAAGGAGGTGATTTAAAATTTTAAATTGTTATGTAGCACTAGAGAAATTGTTATATGGTTTATTACTTATTGTCATATGAATTTACATTAACTATATTATACATTAATTGTAAATAAAATAATAAATTTCATTAAAATGTTTTAAATTGAAAATTAATTTATACCAGCTGATCCTGGTAGACTTTCTGTCCTTCATCACTCTCCCCCCTTCTCCGCAAGGGAATTCGATAGCGTTATATCCATCTGGCTGCATCTATTTTAAGGTTCATAATACTAAAGTAGCGTAATTTCAAACACTACTTTGGTAATATGTTTGTCAGGAAGCGGTGCGAGCTTACGAAACTTCTACCATGCATTTCATTCTCGAATTTTATTCCTTCCTGGTGCTGAGGGTTTTGCACGTGGCAGCGTGTCTGTTGGAGACATTTCGTTTGCAAGCAGTGTTTGTTGCTGTGCTTTGTTATCAAGAGTTGCAGATCAATAGCGAAATGTTGAGATCCAGGATTCGCCAACACTGGTCGACAGGATAAAGAAAAAAGTTTTTTATCACGTTTCCCTCTGGACCGGGAAGGTGAGTTAAAGTAGTTGAATAGGAAATAAATTGCTGTCTGTTGCACTTAATTGTTTTATAAAATTCATAAAAAAAGTATTTGCCCGTCTTACGGCCCAATTGAAACAAATTAGTTTATTATTATCAAGAATATTGGGTTTAGTTCGTAACCCAATCATTTCCATCTATTGTGGTGTTATTTCGTACGTATCAGTCATCTTAAGAACTTAACAAGTCATTGTTTTGTAAAAGTAATGCGCAAAAGTGTAACATTCGTAATATACAAGACCTGGAAAATTTGGGTGTATTGTTTCTGCATTAAATTTTTCATATAAATAATTTCATTACATGTGCCAAAGTTGTTCCGGTTCTGCAACTTGAAGTATAGAATCCGATCAGCTCATACGTCAGAGAAAAAAAGAACTGAATTGCATGAAAATACCCTTGAGTAAGACAATTTTGAGTAAGACAGTTACGAATCAGTTTTCACCGATTCGTAAATAAATAGGCAAAACAATTGTAGTATTCGAAGCTTAATAAATGCTTTTCATACAAACCTTGTCACAAAAAATGTGTACTCATTTGCAAACTGAATAGCGTACAAATCTTGCCAGTTTATTACGACTTCAATTGTATGATTTGAGTGGAAAGGTGATGAATTAGAATAAATAACATGAGTTTTAAACTAACAAATATATTCGTAATAGGATATGCATCTTTCCCAAACTAAACTACAGATCTGGAAGAAGATTAAGAACCGTTAGGTTCAAATAACAAGTGGATGAATGAACATAATCTTAGAATCTCTTTCCCTACCTACAATCCTGTGGAAAGAATTCCTGTATATTCGTAATAATTTTTAATGGTGGTGCCAAAATAATGAATTTTGTAGGCTTACGTAATTCAAAATTACACGTTTAAAAACCACATCTTAT